TCCGGTATCTCATTGGACAAAACGTTTGTGTGTGTGTGTGTGTGTTTGTTTTGGAGAACTGTGTATAAGCCAGAGTGTTAAACTGGCAGCAATATAATAATTCTGACTTCAGCATATATATGGCACAGTTAACAAAGACTGAATGGTTCATTATTTTTCCACTGCTGTACCCGCAGTGTCAAGGTAGACGGAAGTGATGCTTATATACAGTATTGTTTCCTGCAGCACTGCTGGCCATGGCATGTGTGTATGCATGTGTCTGTACGTCAGCAACTAGGAATACAACAGTAGGACAGTGATAAGTTACATCTATGTAAAAAGTGAAAACCCATGAGCTTATAATATGGAGCAAATAGAGTAAGCAGTGATAAAATACAATAGGCTGTGTAATCTAATGGAAATATTTAAAGAAATTATTACATCTATACTCATTATGACATTTATCTTAGTGTTGTAACAAGTTCTATTGGAGCTTTTTTTGTAATGCTATTTAAATATATTATTTCAGAGTTGGATTTTTCATAATGACACCCGCTTATCTTAAGAATGTTCAGTAAGTGTTACAAAATTTTATCAGTTATTGTAGCTTATGTAAACACGACCAAGAACAGTGTCAAATTGTCTTTGTATCAACCAAGTACAGGCTGCTACAATGAACAAACATAGTAGGTGGTTTATTTATAGTAGCTTAATAAAGCTATGCATGTTTATTGCATAACTGCCTAGATGGGTTTTTGACAACCGGGTTATTACTCAGCATTACAGTGACTCACACGCATACACAGAATAATTTATATATAAACAGTATTTACATGTATTAAAATGAATTAGTGTGTTGTTTAACCCTTATAGTGTACACAGATGGAAAACAAATTTAAAGGAAAATCCCAAATAAATAATGTGGAAACTTATTATTTTCTTGATTATTTGATTAATCTTTTTATTCACAGAATGTCAAATTAGGAAAAAATGCCCATTTTGACTTTCCAGAGTCTAATGTTGTCTTCAAATGTCTTGTTTTGTCCAGACAAATACATCTGAAGATATTAATTTTATCATGTATGACAAAGAAAACCAGCAATTCCTCACATTAAAAAGGGTGTAATCAGAAAATGTTAGTGCTTTTTACTTCAAAATAGTTGCTTATTTATTTTCTGTCACTTAATTGACTTATGGTTGCAGGTTTAAGCTACTGAATGGCTTAAAGGTGCATTAACTGAGATTTTACACAGTTTGATAAATCAAGTTAAATGGGACAGGGTGTGGAGTCTTTCCACTATACATTCTCAACGACGGTCTGCTATCTACAGCCCTAACTGTTATTCCAGCTTCCCTACCCTATTCTCAAAATATGGCCCCGACATTAGCATCATCTGCCACCTAGCAAAGGTTATATGAACTGTTTTTCAGACCATGAATAGTGATTTCAAACTGTCAGCTAGAGGAACTTTGTCAGCTAAAAGTTCAAAACAGTGGCTGCCAGTCTGAGGAGGGCAAGTTCTTTTGCACAGAGAGAGGGGGACAAAAAAGGTTTAACATTGGTTTGTCTTTTTGAGATGGAGTGCATTAAAAGCAGCCAAAAGACTCAAAGGGAAGTACATCCGCAACCTGCAGCATGACAAATAATGGTGTCAGAAAATGAGGAAATTGAGGAAAGAAGAGGAAGCGCTGTGAACTGTGTGGCACAAAGGGTGGGGAGACAGTACAGTTGTGTCAGATGCGGAAAATATATTTGCAACAAACACACAATCAAAAGCCATCCCCTGTGTGGTGCAAACACTGGAATGTATTGAAAATATTTGATTCCTCTCCCCTTGCATTTTTTTTCCTCACATCGCACACAGGCAGGACTAAGACAAGAAAAGGATGCAAGAGATTGAAATGTGAAGGGAATTGGGATTTGTCCACGGTGTCAGTTTGTTTTGAGTTTCACTAGACCCTCTAGTGGCAGAAAAGAAATAAACCTTTTGCACAGCAGACATTTTGAGTTGTCACAGTAGAACAACACAAGCAAGTATGCACAAAAACATGACCCTGGAAATGGCTCACAACAATGCAGCCATTGTGTTATCAGTTACATCTGTGCTTTTCCTACTATCATGTTAAAATGTCTGCTGTGAAAAAGGTCTTTTAGGAAGAGCAGCTTTGATGCACATGAACAGAGGAGTCACTTTATTATAAAGTAAGTTACTAAAAAAGTAAGTTTACAAAATTAAGGATTAACAAACTCAGTTACACTGCACATAGCATGAGCACGAGAAAGACCACAAAGATCTAATATTTTTCTGTATGCCTGTGTGACCTGCACATCTACCTCATTACACACAACTTTTACTTCTAAGAAAACTGATCAGGCAGAAAATGAAAGGACAATTAATTTGACAACATTCAGATCCATGTACCCCCAGGGATGATATATAAAGAAGAATAAAGAAGCCTCTTTAGCTGATTTTATATCAGAGTCAGTATCCACTGCACTAGTGTCTGACCTATTCAGTAAAAATGGGACAGTCACCAGGGACAGAAGTGAACTGTTCATTCTAAAAATATCTCCTCAGGGCACAACTGGTGAGAGGTTGTGGTGTGCAGCCCTCTTTTCTGTCTTTCTGCTGAGTCTCAGAAGGAGTGTGAACATAATAAACAAGCCTCCTAATAAACAAGGTGTCTGTGATCAGCACTGAGGAATCGTTCATGCCCAACTTAACTGTAGGCTCATTGTTTAGCAGTGGCGTGCCAAGCATCAGGAGATTTGTCTGCTAATTAGTTTGTTTGACTCTGAGATGAACTTAAAGGAAAATGAGTGAGGCGAACAGACTGCAAAGGCAAATGAACTATTACTTTGCTCTGAGGTATTTTATATAATCGTTGTACAGGAGGCATAAGTGGCCTAAGGGAAGATTATTGTTTCCTTAGTCAGATACTGGTAGTCCTTTCTATAAAATCACTATACAGTATGGATTTAGATCAAAGCTCTCATTTTTTTTCCACATTGACAGCAACCATATGATTTGGGCCATGGGTCCCAAGATGGAAAGGAGGCCTAGAAAAGCTACACATGAAGTTTCTGAAAAAGAAAGTCCCTCCTGAAAAAGACCCATTTATGATAGATGTTGCTCTCATAGTTCAAACCAGTCCTGCCTTGGGCAGCTTGTCAACAAGTAATTTCTAATAGAAATTATTTTTGTCACAGTGATGCTTGCTTGATGACACTGTTAATTGTCACTAACATAGAACAATTTTTTCTCTCGCTCTCTCTTGCAGCAGCAGTGGTATAATCAATTTAATTATTCATATAATTCCCCCGAGAGCCATAATCATAATGACAGTGCTGTCTGTTGCTCGGTTTCATGCTTAATCATGATCACAGAGTCACAGACCCATGTTCTTTTTCTTTTCTCACGTCTCTCCCTTTGGTCTCTAGAAAACAAGAACATCAGTTTTGCTTGCAGATTATATCATTTGCATGAAACAAGTGTGATTTGGTTGATTTATTCATTTTACCAGTCTATAATTAGGATAACATAAGATGACCAAGATGCTTCTTTATCTTATTTCTCATGAAATGTCCTAATGGGAAGCCATGTGGCTATTGAAGCAGCAATCATTTGTATGGTAACCTGTTTAAAGTGGAGTAACTCTCAGTTCAAACAAATAAAAGGCCAACAGTGATAAGCTGTGGTTCATGGATCAAGAGGGCTTCTTGTGTGTGACCACATTCCCCAGATAAATGTTTAGGACATCCAATGAGAAGGTAATGCCATGTTATAAATGTAAAGCATAATGTAAACATTAAAACAACAATTAGTGTAACTGTTACATCAGGCATAACCACATAATGTTGTCTGCCCATTTGTCTTTGGTTTTCTTGACCAACCTGTGCTCTGTCTATTAGACTTTACCACACTGGCATACAGTATGTTCCACTCATCTGTCTGTAATTGATGAAGCACTCAGCAGATACTTCACTGATGAGTGGATGTCTCAAGCTTATTGAGTTATAATTTTTATATGTACAAATATGACTACATAACTGATTTTTGTGTTTGAACCTTAATGGAACCAGTGCAATTCAATTCTTTCTCCTCTATTAGGGTTTATGTTTGTTGATGTTTTTTATCTGTTATTGGACAGCATTTCATCAAAAGTATTTAAACCATTATAATAACAATTTACTTTTTCCATCAGTTCTGACGATTTAACATCAAATGCAATACACCACTGTACTAGAGTTTATTATATTACTAATATTATACTAATATATGTTATACTAATAACAGAAACAACAACAAAACATCAAAACAGTGTTAGTTTCATAGATTGTATTTAAGATTTTAGCTCTGTTAAAATAAATCAAGCTTAAGTACAACTTTGGATAATCTTTCAAACTTACTGTACTTCCTTGTACACTGCCCATTTGTGGTCTAACTATAAAAAGGGCAGTTTTCAGAAATTGTCATTGGCTTATAATGATGCCCTAAGGCTACTATTGAAAAGAACTAGATGGATGAGTGCTAGTGAATTGTTTGTGTCATCTTGAATCAGTACATTTTCCGTGGTCTTAAGAAACTTGATGTATAAATTTATTTGTTGCTTGAATTGTTCTGAAAATAATGTCATTTTATTGTTGACTAATGTTGCATACAGTGTCATGCGATTTACTTAAACTCTCTGGAAACACTGGTATGCCTGCCTTTTAAAGGGATAGTAATTTATTGTTGTTTCCTCTTCTTTCCTTTTTAACTGTTTTTTTTTTTTAGTTTTTGAACTTGGACCTTGAGTCTATAATAATAAAGTGTCATAAAGTGTCAATCTTTACTTGTCAGTTTTGCATGTCCTATAAAATATAATTTCCAATAACAAGGAATTTTACTGTATCGTCTTCTTCTTCAGTTGTTTTTTGCAGTAAATCTCTGTATGGTAAATAAGCAAGGATTTCACTGCGTCACAGTCATTCTCTTACTCGATTGGCCAGAATATTTAGCTGCAGAGTTGTAATTGGCTATCAATGTGAGTTCAAATGTTAGCTTGTCATGTAACACCTTAGACGGACAGGGATTTATTATCAGCTAATTTGTGTAAGGATGGTTCTCATTTTAGCATAATGTGACACTCGACAATATACTTATGTGCGCAAAGGTTCTATTGGTCATTCAGCTGACGTGCTGTGTAAATTTGTGCGTATTGTTTGAGCACTGCTATCCTGCTCATGCTAACGTTAGCTGAGTGGCTACCTACAGTAGCTAACATGAGCTAACCACCTAGCTAACTTTGTAACAAGTGTTTTTCCAAATGTCATAGCCTAGTGTATAAAAAAAACTAATCTTGTAAGCATAGGCAGCTGAAGAACGACTTAAATGGGTTTCATTAGAGCAATGACACCGGCGAGGCTCCTGTTTTTGTTAAAGTTAAACGGGAAAGCAGCAGGCTCGACCAAAACATTAGCCAGGGCAGGGTGCAGTGTGTGCTTCAGGAGAAATGTCTGCAGTTCACCTTCAAGACTACAGAACTGCATGTCAGCCTGGGTCATTGATCAGTATGGAACTAATGGAGTTTTGAAGTACACAGAAGAAGTCGCCATCCCTACTGTTAGCTCTACTAGTGAAGTGATGATTAAAGTCCATGCGGCCAGTCTAAACCCTCTTGATATCGCTATGAGGGGTAAGTGTTGGACTAATACTCATCACAGACATTTTGGAAAACATATACGCAAAGTCAGTGGTTTGTAGTTGAAAAATTGTAAACACACCTGCGCGCTTTCTCCATTTACAGGTGGTTATGGAGCTAAATTGCTTAAATTAAGAAGGGATCCACTGTCTGTGATGGACACCGTTAGTGAATTCCCTCTAATCCTGGGTCGTGATGTGTCTGGCGTAGTGGTGGACTGTGGATCTGACGTTACCCATTTTGCTCCAGGAGATGAGGTAGGAGCTCTGATGTACACTGTGCATGGAAGTACTATATGGGGGAAAAAAAACTTGTATTGCTCTACATTCAATTTATTAAATGCAATGTATGTATACACTGAGTGGCCACTTTTTAGGATACACCTGTAAAATCTAAAGCAATCCAGCAGCAGCTCAGTTATAAATTCTGCCATTGCAAACATAATAATCAGTTTGATTGATACTGTCAGTGAGGTGTTAATTTATTTATATGTATATCAGTGAAGTTGTAGGTTGCTGTGGTGTTTTTAATGTGTTGTTTACTCCATTTAGACACACAAGGGGGCAAGCATGTTAGAAAAACACTTCAATATAATGCAGTACAGGACAACACCACCTCTGTGATCTCATTAATAAACATGCCATTGAATTAACACCTGTTTGACAGTGTCAGCAAACACTGGACATTATAAACTACCTAAACAAGGACATTTTTGGCAGATCAGTTGTTCTAGATTGCATTAAACAGTATAAGTGTACCTAATAAAGTTGTAAGGGAGAATATAGTAGATCTACAAAATCAGTTGAGAAACTGTTGTATACCCAGTCAGTAATATCTCACTTCACTTAAAGTGAATGTGATTTAAATAATAGAACAATACACCAGTAAAATACATTTTCATACAGTACTGTGGTAATCATGTTTCATCAGTTAATATCTTTGGAAGAGATTAACAGTAATAACAGACAGGACCAGCTAAGACTAATAGCTGAATAACCAGATTCAAAGACTGAGTAGTGTGTGCTTCAGGAGAAATGTCTGCAGTTCACCTTAAAGACTTGAGAGCTGCACATTCAAAGACTGTGAATAAATGGATGAATTGAGTTGTTCAGCATTCTAAATGTCATATTTGTGTTCCAGGTGTGGGCTGCAGTTCCCCCATGGAAACAAGGAAGTCTGGCAGAATTTGTGACTCTAACAGAGTATGAGGTAAGCCATGGAGTCAGTGCAGTTATATGATTTCAGTATAACTGACTGACTGTGTCTTTTGTTGTCTGATTCTTTTTTTTTTAAATGAAATTAGGAAGTTAGGATGATGATAATTTGATTGCAGGAACCACTCTGGCAGGAATTGCTGTGTTTTCTTGCTGTCTTGTCCTTTATATATTCAGCAGCTCTTAGCTAGCTGCCCTTATAGAACTCTAGTGTTAGACTTGTAAATTAAAAAGTGTTAAAATGTTTATACTATGTTTTTTTTCTTTTGCAGGTTTCTCATAAACCAAAACTACTGAATCACACAGAGGCAGCATCCATCCCCTATGTAGCTAACACTGCTCTGTCTGCACTTGTTAATGCAGGTGGTCTTTGCAGAGACAACTCTTCAGATAAAAGGTAAGCATCCGCCTGATCCTGAATCACCTTTCAGTGAACCCCTGTACCGCCTTACTATTTATACACAGACCATTACGAGTGTGGTTCACAGTACTGGGGGAAAGTAAAAAGTCCCTGAACACTTCTAGGAACTGCCATCAACTTGAGTGAATTCTTTAAATTGTTCTCCTTTCCTGTTGAGAAAATCAGTTACTTATATTTTGATAAGGCACAATTTTCATCATATTAATCTCAGTGATGACCTGGTATCAAAAGGGTTTTAAAACCTTGCCTTTAATCCACAGACTGTAACAATTTAACCGGTTTTCATTCCTCCTCTCTTGTAATAGAATCAATGCTGCAAATCCCTTTGTACTCCCTGTGGCTTCTACATTGTTCAGTAACTTTGCTTAAATGAGTCACACAGTAACTGAACGTTCTTCTGGTTGCTGGGGTTTCTCCTCCTAGGGTTTTGATCATTGGAGGATCAGGAGGTGTTGGAACATTCTCTATTCAGGTAACTCAAAGTGTATTCCTCTAGCTGTTTGACTTTTTCAAACTCTGCATGAGTGTAAGGTCACTTGCCGTGTCTGTGTGCACATTCTTATTTTCTTCCTCTGTGGTGCTGCCAGTTACTGAAGGCCTGGGGTGCCCATGTAACAGTTACCTGCTCCCAGAACGCTGAAGGCCTTGTTAGAGGGCTAGGGGCTGAAGAGGTGGTGGACTATACAACAGGAGATGCAGCTGAACAATTACAAGTAATGGAGAAGTAAGTGCTATTGCCTTGAAGTGTGGGGTTTTAGAAGTAACCAAACTATCAAACTGTAGAGTAGATAACTTGTACACTGGTGACATTGTTTTTTTTTTTAATGAATCAGAACAAAATGTTTTTACTAGCCTCAAGCTCAGACTAATTAAGTATCATTAGGGTCAGTGGCAGTCCAATAAAGGTGTTAATGAATCATCAAGGACTGCTAAAAGTGTGCATGCTTTTCCCCTTTAAATGCCACCAAATGTGATAAACGTCTTCCTGTCAGCATGGCGCACCTGCTCGCTGACTCTCTTTTTAGTTTCCATGGATACCTGGGCTTAGGGCCTGAATGGACTCTAGTTCACCTCTCCCCCTGCTCCAGAAACAAAATTAGAAAACCCTGGCTTTAGCTTGAAGAGAACAAAAAACAATCTTTTCTTAACATGCAAATCAGGACAGATGACAGACAGACCTGAGATTATATAACACGCACCAGCCTGTTATGGAGTGTATATAATTTTCAGGATTTGAAATCTTCCTCAGCTGGGTTCCTCTCGGTTTGACAGTCTGTGTTTGCAGGTTTGACGTGATTTTGGATAGTGTCGGAAGGGAAACAGAGCAGTGGGCGGTGGGCCTGCTGAAACCCTGGTGTGGTGCAAAGTATGTCACACTGGCAACACCTTTACTTCTCAACACTGATTCCATGGGCCTGTTGGATGGGGCATTTAATGCTGTATTTAGCCTGCAAGCCAAAGCCATACAGGTAAACATTAGCAAAATAGACTTTTCATTTCAATACTGAGTCAAACATAACTGATGTGAAAGATGATAGTGTACACAGAAGCCTTACTACACCCTTTGTTTATTTCTATAGAGTTCTTTGAGCCTGGTATTTGTCATGCAGCCATTAGCGTGTTTGTTTTTTTTAAACAGGTGCTGCCAAACTGAACTCTTTAGCATGGAAAGACAACATTATACAGTGGGTATGCACCTGTTCCTTCCATTAGAGTAGTTTTTTGTTGTGCTTTATTTCATTTAGTTGATCAGATGGAATGAGGTTTAGTAGGAAATATAAATATACCCTGCATGGAGGCGAAGAGGGAATTTGAGCATTACATAGGTTTTGAGTCCCTGCAGTTGTGTAAGCCTCGTGTTGATGTGTGCTGTCCCACCAGCTGCTCTTTTAGTGGAGTGCATGTGCAATGAGGCAGTGAGTTAATAGGTGAGGACGGGGTGGAGCTGCTCTAGTTGTCTTGAGTAGTGGTGACAGTACGGTTGGCAGAGCTTTGTAGATGTGTGTGAGTGTGGGCATTAGTCT